GGGAGAGGGGGGGGGGGGAGGACTTCCCCTCAGCCGTCCTGGAGTCCGCCTTGATTTTGCGCTCGGCGGCCGGCAGATGGCCGTCGGCCGCGGCCGCACCCGACGTCTCCGCGGGGGTGGGACTGGGGTCCTTGGTCTTGGGCTGCCCCTTCGTGACGTGGGCTTCGAAAGCCGAAGAGGCCGAGGAAGAGGACAGGGAAGACGAGCGAGAACTCAACGGCGAGTGCGAATCCGCAGGGCTTTTGGACTTCAGTCGTCCCTTTGCCACCACAGGCGTCTGTGGTTGAATTCGAATAGGTGATCGAGATTGGGAAGGGCTTCTATCGAGTTCAATATTTTCTGCTCCCTCAGCGGTTGAGGGCTTTGGGGGAATGGAATTGGATTCATTCAGAAAATCAAGTTCACTGCTCTCGCTAGCCTCCTCAATAAAGTGAGGGACACCATGCTTCTCCACTTGATTTTTCTTTTCTAATGGGGTGAAAGACTTCGATTTACGGGGCTCTTCAACTTGTAAATCTTCATCCAAAAAATCGTCTGAATAGGCGTCATCATCATGGCTGACTGGGGGTGCTTCGTGATTGACAGTAACTGACATTAATTGAAACCGTTTCTCGGTCTTTTTGTTTAACTAAGTTTCAAAAAAAAGTGAATCAGCGTGCACTGTAAACACGCACCAAAAAAAAATTCTTCAGTTTGGATGTATCGTCCTTTATCTCGACAGACTGTTCCTTTTCACTTCCGTTTGATAATAGAATAAGTGATTTCAAAAGTATGGAAAAAAAGAATATTACATTAAAGCTATCTCGTTAAAACATTTAAGGCTCAAAAAATTGGAAAACCGATTGAAATGAAAATACATTTAAGTATATATGTAAAGATATAGATGCCCTCCATAATTATTACATTGTTGAATATGCACAATAAAAAAAGTAGCTATCTGTTCAGCCTCATTTTGCTGACTTTAACATGATTCCAGTAGGGTTTTTTTGAAAATGAAGAAAAAGGTAAACTATATATACTATGACTATGTTACACTCAGAATAAGTCAAAGCTCCACTTTTTGGTCTAGATTTGAACGAAAGGGAAAGAACCTTATATCACATCCCGAAGTTATCTCAGTATCGTCCCGAAGAGAGTGATGTTTAACAAAAAAATATAAATAAAAAAATAATAAGCTAAATAGAAAAATAATATCCGTTACGATGAGGGTTATTTCCCTTTGCGTCAAAAGCTTCTTTGGTAATTTCAGCTGCGAAGCCAACCCAAGTCAGTTACATGGTGAATTACCTTCTTTCCTTCATATATGTTTAACTTGTATGAGTCTTAAAAATGGTTTTTGAATGACGTGAACGCTCCTGCTGGTGAAACTCCCCGGAAATCTCCTTATTTATCCAAGAAATACTCTTGTAAATAGATTTTCTATTCATAGTATCTCATTCTGAATCTCGTCATTCATTATCCATTCCACTACTCCTTCCTTAGCCCATTATCCATTTCAGGTGTAAGGTTTTTCGGCTTCTTTGATCGCATATAAGAATACCGATGAGATGCCTCATCAGTCGGGATGGATTTCCTCGAAGTTCTTGGGGTGGCAGCAGACATCATTCCTTTTGTGGAATCCATTTCAGGTGTAAGGTTTTTCGGCTTCTTTGATCGCATATAAGAATACCGATGAGATGCCTCATCAGTCGGGATGGATTTCCTCGAAGCTCTTGGGGTGGTAGCAGATAACACTCCTTTTGTGGAATCCTTTTCAGGTGTAAGGTTTTTCGGCTTCTTTGATCGCATATAAGAATACCGATGAGATGCCTCATCAGTCGGGATGGACTTCTTTGAAGCCTTGGGGGTGGCACCAGACAACACTCCTTTTGTGGAATCCTTTTCAGGTGCATGGTTTGTCGACTTCTTCGATCGCAAATGAGAAACTTTGCTGTTGTTGGAACTTTTCTCGGCTTTTTTAGAGGAGACAGTAGGCATTTCTTCTGTCTGATCGAGTGGGATATTGGAGCGCACGGTATCAAATAGGTTCGATAAAAGAGGCCCATTATCCTCGCCGGTATTTTCAATTGAATGATCAATATTTTCATCCTCCACTTCATCTAGGATTTCTAATGGAGTGGAGGGCTTCGATGCATAGGATTCATCATTTTGAAAAAGATCTCCCAACATATCGGACGTAAGGGTTTTGGACTTTTGATCGAAATCGGGTCCCTCATAAGTAATAATTGACATTTGTTTCAACTGTTTCGCAGTATTTTTAGATTTTGCTTTAAAAAATAATAATGAATCTGCGCGTAATAACAAACACTGGAATAAACAAAAAAAATTCCTTCGTGATAGAAATATTGTCTTTAATACTGATGGTTTGATACTTTAGCTTTTCGAAAACACAATGAGTAATTTCTAAAGCACGAAAATAGAGAATATGAAATGTAAACGAAATAGTTCCTTAAATCATTCAAAGCATACAAAAATGGTAAATCATATCTAAGTGTAGTCAAATAAACATACACATACTCTCCCCTTAGTGATTACATAGCGAAATGGTAACAAAAAATCACTATCCGTGCAACTTCCCCCTACTGTCTCTATCATAGTATACATAATATTTAAAAGATAACTAAAAAAGCGAATAAATATGTGTACATATAACCTATTTATTTCGCAGTCAGAATACGTCGAAGCTCCACTTTCTGCTCTAACGTCAAAAAACTAGGAAATTTTGTATCGCACTCGACTACTAGATCTCCTCGTGGCGCTGAGGGTTCGCTCCCACGCGGCATCCCCTCCCCCGCGACTCGCGTGCGAAACTTGGGATGCACAATCTCGTCAATCAGCACGAGTAGCTCACGGCCGTCGATCGTTCTCACCGTCAGCGTCGTCCCACAGAGAGCATCACTGAGAAAAATAGGCTCCGTCACCACGAGGTCATTCCCCTCGCGACGAAAGCGCTCGTGTGGTTGCATTTGCAACTTCACAATCACATCCCCTCGCGCAAACCCGGGTGAAGTATTCCCACGGCTGTCAATATGATATCGATCGCCGGTCTTCGCACCCTTCTCCACGCGAACCTCGAAAGATTCCGTGCTGCGCTCCACGTTCCCATTTCCGCTCCTGCCGTGAGCACTACCCTTATCTCCACCGCTTGACGGCGTGAAATGCGAAGCCTCCCAGACCACTTTCCGCATCGCCCCGTAAAAGGCGTCCTCGAGCGAGATCGACAGGGTCACCTCAATCGGTGAGCACTTCGTCAGGACCTTCTGCTGCGCAGCGACCTCGCTGAAGAAGTCATGCTGGTTGTTCTGCACCCCATCGATATTCGCGACGACCTGAAACGGGTTATCCACGCCGAAGAAGCGCTTAAAGACGGCCTGTGGGTCGATCCCATCGAGGTCCATGCCGCCCGGGATACCCTGGGAGCCCGTCCCGCCGTGCTGAACGCCCTCCTCGCCGTAGAAGTTGTAGACAGCGCGGGCACGGGGGTTCGAAAGG